TATGTATATATATGTATATATATATGTATATATATGTATGTATATATATGTGTATATATATGTATATATATATATATATATATATATATATATAACCCAGAAGTGTGAAAGCGAAAAAGCTGATTTTTGGAGCGCTCCTTATATGGGCGTGCACAGTCACAAACCTAAAAGCGACTTTTAAATCGCTCTTATTTTGACCCAATGACCTTTATATAAATTTGAGCCAGTTTTATAACTGAAGCACAAATAATGTTGTCAATTTAACTGTCGCATGAAATGAGTGACAGTATTCACTGTTTCTTGACTTGTAGCTAGTTTCGGAACAAAGAAGGATGATGAATTGAGGTTCTGCAGCCTTAGCTCATCATGCAGAGCCGCAGGAGTAACTCGGACTAGTTTTCAGAATCCAGTTTATCTGATTCATGGCTGTACGAGTCCAAACAGCGGCACAAAGGAAATCATGAATCTGAAAATTTGTTTGCCTTTTTGGGTTGGATTTTTTGAAAAATAGCCGTTGGCAAACTATGTTGTGTACTAACTCAATCATTCACTGGGTCCCTATAATGGGTAGTGCGAAAACGCACGCCGACACCGTCTTCTCTAGGGCTTTTCATCTATTTGTTTCTCAGTCAGTCTGCTTGATCGATTAATAATTTGTTCCTGATTTTGCGACTTAGGACTGACAGAAGAACGGAGTTATAGGCTAAAAAAATGCCAGGGCTCAAAGCCTAAGGCTAGCGATGCAAAAAAAAATGTTCCACTGTTAGTTTGGTTAAACAGTTGTTGGCTGTGCCGGATGATCAGTAAATCAAGAAGACAAATAGTAAAGCTACAGTTGCGCCAGTTTTTCCTGCCTTGTTTCATTGCATTCCGTCGAATTCGAGTCCACTTTTGTTTCTGATAGCATGAATTGAACTCGGGTTGTGAAAAATAATAATTTACTACATTTCACAAGCGAGAAAAGAAGTGCAGATGACACAAGCGCAAACAATCGGCACAGTTGCGTCAAGAGGACTGGTGTTGCCATGTTCTTGATAAATAGGCCGTTCGGCGCCCACATTCCATTCATTAATCAGTTTATGAGTTTTACATTTCCTAGCTTTTCATAGCTATCATAGCTATCCATACACGAAGACTGAAGAAGGAAGAGCGGCGCTGGTCAAATTTGCCACATTTTACAGAAATGCAAACGTCATCCTGTTTTCCATCATTTCCCAGAAATCTAGCGTTGCTCTGATTGATTTGTCCCTTCGTAGTGCATTATAACATTTCACAGTTAAATTTTCCATCATAGCAACCGTTTTTTTTTTGCACACATCAGTTTTGGTGCTTTCTGATGGCAAAAGAACGCTTTCTTTCACTTGGTCTTCTTGGCGCTGTATGTCTTGCCATTCCTTGTAATATTGGTTTACTCATTGTGAAATGTGTTGTTTTAGACGCAGTGTTGCAGATGTGCAAATAGTGTGATTGTTGAGGTACGATCTAAAGTATACTCTATTTTCCTATAGGTGTGCTTGAAGACTGCAGAAGCGAAGTATGGCACACGTTACGCCCCTTCACATTTTTCGAAAACTCAACATACAGTGAGTTTCACTGATTTGTTTACATGCTCACTGCTCGGCCGAGTTTCGTTACTACAGATTTTTGTCTGCTTCACATTCCTGACCAATAGTAGATTTGCAGTTAAAAATCTGTTTGATAAATCATAAAGCAAAAGAAAGAAGCAGGTGCATTATATGCTTTGAAAACTTGTTAAATCATGTCGATCACCCCAGTTAACTAGCACTAAAAGATGTGCTGCACACTTTTGTCAACTTCTTCGTCTTTCAGTTTCTCATACTTCAAACTTTTAAAAGGGTACTTTTTGAATTTTTGGTTTGCCGTCGTTGTGGAAACTGTTAGCGATCCCTGTTATTCCATTTCGCCAGGAACACCCGGTAGTTCTTAATGCGAGACCGGCAATATTTTGTTGATTTCAATTTTGGATACAGCTGCATGCTCACCCTCTCCAGCTTGTCACTGAGGGAGGTTGGATTTTTACAAGAGAAATCTGTGATAAATTTGAATTAGAAGAAGAATCAGCTTTCGAGTTATGAAATTGCCTCAAGTTTATCGTAAAAACGCATGATCACATCGGCAAGCTTAGTGGTTTTTGAAAGAGTTTGCGGCCATTCTGATGATGCCAGCAAATTTGTATCTTCAAATGCCAATCAAAAGACAAAAAATGCTCCTCTTCCGGAAGTTGTCAAGAGTATCTTCCCTACCAAATTTACGAAAACTGACGTTTTCACTATATTCTGCAGGTTGCTCTTGGAAAGTAAAACTGCTGTTACTACTTCTGCAGGCTTCCAAAGTGCCATTGCTACAGATCTACAAGCAGCCGTAGAATTTGCAAAATAACGTACTTTTGTAGTAAAATGCGGAAACCAGAGAAGGGAAGCATTTCAAGCCACAGGCCCTGCTTTGTAATAGACTAACTATATTTTGTTTCGTCAGCTTACACACAGCTGCTCCCATCGTGTCCTGTCCTTTCTGTGCACATTCTGCCACAGCTAAACCTCTTGCGACAATCCTCGCGCAAACATCCACCCATATTAAATAACTTGCCACCACCGTCAACAGCTTGCTCAGTACCGAACTGATCTTTCTATACCGCTTGCTCAGCACCACCGTCAATGCTGCTCAGTACTCTCGTCCACAGGCTGATATCGATACCTCTATTGGATGTACAACACTTTAATTTCCCCCGAGCAAAATTTGTTATAGACGAAGTGTGTAGAAAAATTAACGTACTGTAACGAAGGCGTCGCTGCAAGAACAAACCTAGGTGGCTACTCACCGGGCTTGGCGGTGCGGTCATGCGTTTTTGCGTGACTCCATTCTGTAGGGGTCGCCTCTGCTGTTGGGATGTGGTTGCGGTGTTGCAGTCTCATCATTTAATGCGCCTGTGCGCAAAGTCTATACCTAGACAGAAGCTCTCTTACGCTTGACAGCCCACACAAAAACAGCACACATCCTTAGAAAATACTGCTTCCTGCTCAGTCGGTTTATCGAGTTAATTAAGTGCCAGCAATCTCACAGACTAAACTTTTAGTTACGTTCGAGACCTCGGCGTGCTCTAAAGTTAAAAAATATTCTGATCTCACATGGGCACAGAATATCATCGTAAAAGCTTTGTAGCTTAACTGGTTAAGAAGCCACTTTTTGTTACAGTTGTCTTTGACATGTCCAAATGCACCACATCAACGCGAACCAAAGCTTATTTTACACCTAAATGTCGGTGTATGGACAACAAATATTTTCGTGAGCTGGAAGCGTTCTAATCACCTTAATTCTCCAATCGACATTTTGCCAGTGATGGCAAAATCTCAATTTTGACGTGTTTACGTAACCCAAGTATGTATTAAAGCTGAATTTAAAGCCTTTAGCTCGGAGAAGGACATAGAACATCCTTGTGAAATTTCAGCTTCCTATCTTATCTGGTTCCCGAAATCCCTTTTTCGCCAAAAAAATTATATTAACTATTTTAGGCAGCCATACGTGAGAACCAGGCGTACGTTAATGTTGATTTTATGAGGATTAGATGGCACAGGGGCTAGGCATCCGTATGAAATTCCAGCTTCCTAGTTTGCGCTGATGCTAGGTTGAATGTGCGTGACAAAAATTCCAACGCACACATAGACATACACGTATACATACATACATACATCAGCAGTCTCTCGATAAAATGTGTTTTTATGCATTTTTGCATATATGTAAATTGTAAAAACGCATATTGGAAAGAGGCTCTGTGTGTTTGTGTGTGTCTGTGTGTTCGCACTTTTTGTCACTCACTTTCAACTCGAGAGCCAGAAAAGCTAGAAGGCTGAAGCTTTGGGAGTATGTGCCCATACCGTGCGCGACCTTCCCGTTTTACTTTCATCCTCTGCAGACGCCTGGGTGCCGCGTAGGGACACTTTAAAAAAATATGCAAATTTTTGGCGGGAAAGCGATATCGGGAACCACATGAGCTAAGGGGCTGAAATTTTGTAGGGACATTCCACGTACATGTACTAGCTTCAAATTCAGCTTCCAGGTGTACGTGGTACTCACGCAAGGGCGTCTGAAAGTTATAGGGGGAAAATTGTTAACTCGGGTAACAGGAAAGCTTGAAAGCTGAAATTTTGGAGGAATGTTCCCTTTCAAAGTATAACTCAAATATTTCAAATTCAGCCCCTGGCTATGCGCGGTACTCACGTAAGTGCGTATGAAAGTTTCTGCAGGAAAATTACTAACTCGGCAACCAGAAGAGCTG